TAGGCAATAATGGCTCTCCACAACTTCCTGTTCCTTGTAGCTCTTAATAAATTTTGTGTTTCTGTGTAACCGTACAACGCCCTCCCTGGTCGTCCAAGACTTCCAACACCGCGGCTGATCGATGAAGATGCATTCGATCTCAATTTGCCTTATCCCTCGTTGTAATTTAAGTTTAATCATAAAGAAGCCAAAACCGAATCATTGCAGGTATCTTCGTGTCGGGCTGATCCAAGCAGGGCGAAAACTTACAGGAAAAAAAAAAATTCGAATAAATTGAACAAAAGTAAATACTGTTTTTATATCAGTCCTCCGTACAATAATTGGTTTATATCAGAATTCGCATGCAATTAATTATCAGCCCAACCGGCGTCTAAATCGAAAGTGATATTATTGTTGACCTGGCAAAATTTGGTTGGCTGCTTTGGTAAAGTTTGGCACAAGGCTGAAGTCGGAGGCTTTCGTCAGCCCATTACCTGTCTCTGGTCTTGTCTCTGTATCTTCTGCCGAATTCGCTTCACGCATTCGCATTTATTGACATTCGCCCAAACTAGCGAAATAAAAGAATTCGATGATTTTAGGAGAATTGTCTTATTCCACTCTCTCATATTATTACCTCTCACTAAATCTCCTCAGTGAGCGTGGGTGGCTTATCCGCCCACTCCTGATATTTCAACTCAACTTTCGTCCAGGAGAATCAACTCCAAATTCGTTGTTTACGAAAAATGAAATTTTCGCTTTACAACTTGCATTTGCAGCTGTGTGTCAATTAACCTTGACCCCTAAGTCTGGGTCACTTTTCCATTGTTCAAACTGCTCGACATACAATTCAAGTCGTTTATGTGTGAATTGAATCCTCAATTTTTCCAGCGTGTTTTTGGTATTAACCCTTCTCCTTTCAAAATCTCTCAGCACATAACACTTTTTAATCATAAGAAAATTTTCTTAGGTTTTATTTTACCGCGGTAGGGTTAGGGTTTATCACACTGTTATTTCTCCTGTTCCAGCATCCATTTACTCAAACTCACTATGTCATGAGCTGATTTCCTCTTGCCTTCAATCTGTCCTGTGAATATCAGATTTTCCAAGCCCTTTTTCTTCATTATATGCCCTAGAAACCTCTACTGTCTATTCCTGATGTCAAGTTCCTTTTCGCTTCCATTTTCTCTTTAAAACTTCATCGTTGCTCAGATATTCGGGCGATGGTATTCTCAGCATCCTTCTGTAGAACCACATTTCAAGTCTCTTCTTCATCTGTGAGGACACTGTCCAGCTCTAACTGGCATACAGGAGGACAGATAACACGTAACGGTTTAGTACTCTTTTCCTTGTTTCTAGTGATTTTCTTTTCTATTTCTTAGTATTCTACATAACTTTTGGAATGGATCTTTGGCCATCCCAATACGCCTTCGGATTTCCGTGTCACACTTTTCGTTTTCTGTTAAAACACTTCCCAGATATTTTACTCTTTCTTAATACTTTGCTTAGATTTTGGAAGGCATCTTTCGCTATTCCAATACGCCTTCGGATTTCCGTGTCACACTTTCTGTCCTCTGTTAAATTTAAATTTTTGTACTTTTCTGATTTTGGCATGTCCGATACGAAAGTTGCATTTTGGCTCATTCCTTTTGCTAACAAATATGCATTCTGTTTTCATGCAGTTGATGCTTACTTCTTTCTTCTCGCTTTCTTTTGCTACATTCTATAGGAATTTTCGTGGTTTTCTTTATGTGTCTGCTATCAACAGTGTGTCATCTGCGTATCTTATGTTGATCTTCGTTTAAACTAGCAAATCTTAGACACTCCACGAAACTTGCTAGCCATATGTGGAATTTGAAGGGAAAAACAAGAGGGACCCATTCGTAAGGTGGAAATATTTTAAAAAAAAGAGTAAAATCATACATCAATCATATCTGCATTTACAACCAATGTCAACATGAGAAATTAGTGATTATGACTTTTGCAGATAAAAAAAACCCTTTTAAACCAGAAATCCGAAATCTTAAGTCCTTGCTCTCATATAAAAAAAAATTATTAAGTGAATAATAGGCCGGATAAAAATGTAATTTAAAACCTCATTGTTATGTTTACAATGCGTTTGTTTTCCCTCCCCACCCTTCCTTACATTTACGATACACTTGCTTTCCTCTTCTTTCTCTTATTCTCTTCAGCCTTCTTCTTTTCCTTCTTCGTCCTTCTTTATATCCACTCCTTTCTATTACACTTAACGTTATACATTTAACCGTCTGCGTTTGTTTATTCATTTTTGAAAAATAATTGTGTTTTTTTTTTTTTTTAAAGTAAAGCGTTGGATGGTCAGTTGACAGAAATTGCCTGATGAGGCCGTAAGGTAGCGTATTCAACTAATCTCCTAATTTTTAAAGTTAAAAACTCTACATGTTATTTTTACCTTTATTTTATTTTCACACGTGTATTGAGCACTTTTTAATACTACTGTTTCCTGGTCTGATTCAACTCTGACCATGAACCATATATATATATTATAAATTAATTGATTTAAAATATGTTTTTTTCGCTACACAGTTCTAACCATGTTTCAAAAATGGAAGTTAAAAGCCCCGAATTTAATTTTGTAATTAAGTTAAAGACATTAGTTCCATTTCATCCTCAAGCGAATTTTGGAGTAACTTTGAAAATTACTGGGTTTTAAAGACACAGCTAAAATCATAATTCACGTTTCCAAGGTTACAGATAAATCCACTTCCACTAGACAGGGGTGTCTGCGTGTTCATTATGTCTGTATTTTGATGTATCAGTGATTAGTTACGTTTTGGTAGGGGTAGGGATGTATTTTTCAATGAAATCTAACATCTGTTAAATGCATGTCGTCTGGATTTAAAAAAAAAAATTATTGTTAACGGCAAAAATTCTTACGGCATTTTTTCTATTTGTATACTTAAAGATTTTTGGGGGTTGTTTAGGTTAGAATACGTTTCATTTAACTACGATTTGAAATATTTTAACTTTTAATTTTTAATATTATACTATATTTCTTTTAAGAACAATTAAATGTAATTAGAATCCCTTACAGTATGTAGAATTATTTTCACATCAAGTATAAGTATGTAAATTATTATAATTTTTTTATATTTAAATATTATTTAAGTAAAACTTATGACAATGACGGCAGAAATAGCTACTTAATTTCACTGATTTAGTAAACTTTTTTTAATATAAACCTAGTAATATATTCAAAAGCTTACATCTTCTAACATTACATATTAATTTTATTTTACTGTAGGTGTTTTATTGGATTCTTTTAATTGTGTGTAGTGCTAAGAGGGAGGTCTTTAGGTTAGAAAACGTCTTATTTAATAAAATTTAAAAGAAGTTTAGATTAGAATTCATTTTATTTAACTACAATTTTAATTACAACTTTAAAGTATTTTCATTGTTAGTTTTAATAGACTATATTTCTTTTAATAGAAGTAAACGTATTAGAATCACTTACAGTAAGTAAATTTTTTTTCCATATCAAGTATATGTATATTACGATTTTTAAAAGTTTATATTTAAATATTATTTAAGTAAAATTTATGGCACTTACTGCAAAAATAGCTAATTCATTTCTCTGATTTAGTTAACTTTATTTATTATTTTTGTTTTTTTTATAAATAAACTTAGTAATATATAGTTTCACATGTATGTACAAAGGACATGGTTCATTCAATGGCCTACATCTTCTAGCTTTTCGTCATAATTTCATTTTTCAGTAGGTGTTTTATTGGATTCATTTAAGTGCCGGTAGTACTTTTTGAGAGGTGTTTAGGTTAGAATACGTTTTATTTAACTACGATTTTAAAAGATGTTTAGGTTAGAATTCGTTTAACTACAATTTTAAATACAACTTTAAAATATTTTCACTGTTATTTTAATAGACTATTTTTTTTAATGCTCTGTAAATTTACATTGAGCACTATTTTGTAAAAATAAAAATATCTATAAGAACACCGGATTATATATCTTACTGTTCTTTCTTTTTATTTATATATACATATACATATGTATAAATTAAAATTCCCAGCATCCCTCGTTCGTGCGCATGTGTAGTCGCAGCAGCATAACAAATTTAGTCCGATGACCTCCTAAAGGACAAAACGCGTCAGAAGAAAACTTTTTCTACTTTGTGATACATTTTCCACCAACATTGTTCATGATATATATATATATATATATATATATATATATATATATATATATATATATATATATATATATCCATATCTCATATTTTTTGTAAAATATTCAGTTTGTAACCCTTAAATGACTGGCAGTTGATGTTTCCTTAAAGATCAACAGATATGATCAATTGATAATTGAAACTTTCCCAATGATACCAAAATTATTCTTCCATGATTCAACTCCAAATGGTTAGGTAACTCTAGGATTCCAGGATTTCCTGGAATAATTACCTGCAAATAGACCTGGAAGAACAAGTCAAAGACAGTTCTATGCCTGCATCCATACTTCGAGAAAAGAAAAAAGTAGGGATTGATTGATTTGTTTTTTTTTACAACTTATTTAAAGTTTTAAGATTTATTTTAGATAATAATGACTTACGGATACAAGCCCTAATAATTAACCCATACACGTCTGGAGAAGTAAATGCATACCTTTCCCAAGGTTATTTGCGCGCAAGGGAATTTAACGATCCTGACTGGAATTGGAACTCATCTCTCCGATTTCCAATTCTGAGTTGCTATCCATTGTACCATCCGCACATCCACGCTTACGGCACCTGGTATACCCAAGCGGTCAGCCATCTCGGTACTGACTAGGCACGACGTTGGTTAACTTCGATGATTGTACAAGAAGAGAAAATGATGAAAACTTAGTGTAAATAATGTACAGCTGCAGTATGTAAAGAATATACAGCTCCATGCTTCAAAGAGAATCACGCTGTTAAAAATATTCAACTTAGTAACCTGGAATTCGTTTTATTCTGCTTTTTACGTTAGTTTTACACCACCTGCACATCCAAGCTTACAGCACCTGGTATTACAAGCAGTCACCGATCTAGGTACTGACGAGGCACGACGTTGCTTAACTTCGGTGATCGGATGAGACGACAAAATGATTGGTGGCAAGGTCTCGTCATTTTACAGTTGAAATGGTTAGATGTAACCGTAAGTTCTATGCTAACAGTTTCTTCGCTCGCACTTCTCGCTTATGGAATTCTCTTCAGGCTTTTTATTTCCCAGTCGATTTTGAGCTTCAAAAATTTAAATGCAATGTCAATCGTTATCTTCTGTCTTATTAATTCTTGTCATTTTACTGTCCTTGCTCCTTAATGGTAGTTTTCTCATATTCTCTAACACTCAGTAAAGTCCTTGCGTCCTAGTGGCTTTATTGCCTTGCTTAGGGTGAAATGGTTAATAAAAAGAAGCTTGGTGCAAAGAATGCACAGATCCATTGTTCATGGAATGCTTCACGGCGTATCATACTGTTAAAAATATTAAATTTAGTAACTTGACATTTCCCTTTTTTCATTAGTTTATTATCTAGAACAGGCATGAGCAACTTTTTTCAAACAATGGGCCGCATGAGATATAGTTTATCATAAGGCGGGCCACACTACTTAAAATAAAAGGTAATTTTTCTTTGAAGGCACCACAGCCATTTTCTCTACAGAAGAACATACGCATAAGCATCTGACTTAGAAATTAGGAAAAAAAACTTTTTTTTTTTATTTGGAGAAAGGATTATTTCTTTAATAAAAAAAAAATCTGAAGTCTTGTTTATAATCTTATTACTGATGACAGAGTGATTAACACACGCTACTGTGTAACTTGTTTTAAATTTATTCATTTGACTAGAGAACAAATACTTTTTAAAAGAAAAAATATATTTATTTTCTAGAGGAAAAATACATTATGAACGTTTCCTGTTTCTAAAGCAAAAGATGTTTACACGTTTGATATTCCTTAGTAAAAATATCCAATGGTTTAAAATGATGAAAACGTTACCTTCAACGAAATGTTATAAAACTTAATAAAAATTGTACTTAATCATTGTTTCCGTATAGTTGTTATGTATGAGAGAGTGTGTGTATAACCGAGAGAACGAAACGAATAAAATTTTAATAAAGATTATTTTCCTCATGAAATTAGATGTGCCAAAACGGACCGCCATTTGCCCATGACCGATCTAAAATAATTAAAATATCCTTTCTATAGTTTTTTTTACATATAATTAAAGTGAAAATTTGCATAAAACTACTCTAAAAACAATGGAATTTTCTCGTTCTTCACCCATTTAGCGTACATTTTTCCTGTAATTTAAGTGTTTTAAAAAATTGAACAAAACTTCTAATTCTTTCTTTATTTACCTTGTATATCCATAGATACGTCTATAACTGTTTTTTGCCATCTATCATCCCTTCAACAGCTTTATCTACTCGAATATGTCCTGTTTTCTTTCCTCCTTCTTTCTTTTTGTTGATATCCTTTTCTTTTTCACCGTCTTCATTTTTCACATTTTCGATGCTTTTTACCACATTTTTATTCTTTCTCTCTTTAGCTTCAAGTTCTCTTCCGCGTCCCTGCACCTCCGATCTAGCCGCATCACTTAAAAGCAGTGTTGCAAACATCGCCGCGACAAAAAGTAAACCCAATATTTTTCGCTTCATCATTCAAGGTCCTTAAAAGAAAAAATAGTATCTAAGCATTTAAATCAATGCACCAAACTTGTATTGTTTCGCAATTTTACATACATAATACGTTCTATGTCAAAATTTAATGATATTTGTTAAATAATATTATCCAGTCGATGCCAGTAGCGAAAATGGGCCATAACAGATTGAGTATGTACTCTAGGGAACAAACTTACAAGGATGCGACCAGGTTTATTGCGAGCAAAGAGGATTCAATCAGAATTTAGGGGACGATAGCGATATATTGTTTAGCACTGATTCACTATAACGTAATTTTAAAATGTTTTTAAGGGGCTATAGTTTTCTGGGTTTTTTTTCCTTCTTTAGGCTTATATATTTCTAGTTCTTTTTCCTTTTTTAGGGTTTATATTGCTATCTATATTTCTTTCTTTAGAGTTATACGATTCTTTGTTTCTTTTTTTCTCTTTCATTTCTACATCTGTTCCTTCCTTTCTACGAAGTTTTGCTGATGAAAAATTTTAAAATTCGTCATAAATTGATAATTTAGATAATTAATTTCAAAACAGAAATAGATGCAGTTACTTTTGTTAAATACTATAAAAATTTATTTTTATTATTTTTAAAAATGTTAAAATTCAATGTTTAATCGTCTAGTTTTTTTGTTTTTTTTTATTACACGTTTTTGAGAAAAGTGTATACTTCTGGAGGCCAGACGTTTTGAGTTGAAAATGCTTGCAGTTTTTATGGTTTTTATCAAGCATTTGATACCACCAAAACTGCTTGATCTGTTGCTGATTCATGTTATTGAATATGTGAAGTGTTTTATTATATTTATTGGCCAATGAGAAATGAGTTTTTTGGTCTCTTGTGAAATTCTGGCCGGCGCTGACATGATACGGTTTCTTTAATAACAAGGGATGCTATACGAGAATAGAGGGCTAGAAGAAAAAAGAATGGGGAGAGAAATGAGAGGGGCAGAGAAGAAAAGAACGAGGCTTTGACAAGGAAACAAGGTAGGTCGTCAACATCAAAGAAGGCATCAGTTACAAGCCAGCCGCGGTCGAAGAGACCAAAAGTTCAAGTGAAAATTTTCCTGTGATTGGACTTCTTAAAACGAAGAGACTTCGAAGAACTATTCAAGTAGGAACTGTGTAAAGTTAAAAGGGAAACTTTTTCAAAATGCTGTCAAAGTAGGTGTTTTCGCTTTTATTTTCAAACGTATTTGAACCTTTATTTTTTACCGCCTTCTTGTATTGTTTTCCCTTTTTGTGATTTACATCTTTGTTTTTCCCTTACTGTAATTTCCCATTTTTCGTTGGTAATCCTTGAAATTGTTATCCTGCCTTTGAGGCGCACAGAAGGAAAATTTGGAGGCAAACTTGTATTGTACTTTTTTTCATAATTACATAAACTGTAAATAAATGCGTTTTTCCTTCTAAAAGTTTCGCACTGGTTGTCTTGATTTAAAATTTGACACTTTTTGTGACTTGCTGTTTCTGGCAAAAGAATTCGCAGTTGGTAGAAAAAGTAAATTTTTTAATACAGTTCTAAAAAAAGTTATAAATTTGAAAATGAAAGAACAACTGACACAGGAGTCACAAAAATATATATATTATTGTCAATCTGGAAAATGATTTGGAAATTTATAAAATTATATAATAAATATTACAGAACAAATACTTAGAATAATTCTATTAATTACTATTGAAATAACATCTGAAAAGTCTATTTAAAATTTAAGGGAAAATAGCCTAGAAATTCACCTGTAAATCTAATGTTTCCTGCTTGGAATTCAATATCTGAAATCAATATAAATAATTTCTATATTTAAAAGATAATTCTGTTCAGTCATATTAATGATAAAGCATTTGACAAATGAAAATAAACTGGAGGAGAGAATTTTGGGCATTTCCATCATCACGCTGCTATATATTGCTTCCCCCACCCTTTTTTCCGTATTTTGTAGGGTCCAAATAAATTGTACAATTATTTTAACACCAGTTTTTAAATCAACTTCAATTATGTTTAACAATAGTGATGTCCTGAATAAAACTCTCAAGGCAAAAATAGATATGATGGTGGGGGTAAAGTAAATGGACAATTTTGTAGAGGAAGATAATCAGTGTTGTGTGCTTGTGGTTTTACGCCCTGCACTTGATTGAGGGAAGAATGTGTTGTCCATTTTAGTGAAATTTCTGACATTTGAAAGAACTTGGCAATTATCCAACTTTTATAGTTTGTTGGAGGGTGAAATTGTAAAGAGCTTTCTACAATTATTTATATATTGCTTGAAAAATATATTTTTTCACTCTCAAATACACTTTCCAAATATTTCGGAATGGTTTTAAACTCGCAGAAAAAATGTCATGTTAATTTTAACATCATGTTAAATCTTATAATTATTCCACGCCAGGAACAAATTATTAAACTAAAAAAGGATTTTGTTAGAAACACATGTTAATTTGCATTATTAATCAATGACATGTTTTAATGTTGAACCCAAATACAAATTAAAACGTCCGCTTCCAAAAGTAAATATTTTAAAAGTAAATAAATTATTCTTTTTTACATTATACCACAATTAATAAAGAAAAAACTCGATCTTTAAGCTTGAATAATAAGCTTCAATAATAGCCCCAATGATTAAACTTGTTGAAGGCCTCAAATTAATGCGAAAGTCGAAAAAATATTTAAAAAATAAGAACTGTAAAATGAATTAAGATTTCGTCGTTTCTGTTGTTTCAATTATTTATAAAATCAAAAACAAACTTTTATTCGATATCAGAATAATGTCACCATCAGGGTGTTATTTTTCAAAACAAAAAATATAGTGTTCATTATTTTCAAAGACAAAATTACTGTGTTTACTTGAATGTTAAAATTTTTGCTTATGAAGTGAATAACGCAGAGTTTGGTGCCATGAAGTTAGCATAATTAACGCTCCAGGGGAGGTAACTAAATTATGAGGTTGTAAAGAGTTATTTTAGAAGAAAAAAAAGTGAAATAAGATTTGCAACTACAAGTACGAACCTCGATGTTTTAGACTATCTACTGTGAACATTTGTGCAGTATCCATCATTAATTTTGATAATGTTTGGTTTCAAATTAGTTAAAAAAAATTGTAGTTTATGTTATTTATTTTCATGAAGAAGTATGGATGTTTTTTGTCCAGAGTTTTTAAAATCGCGAATGTGAACAGGCATGCTGATGTAAAGGTTTAAAAATGTTAGGCGTGTCATTCAAATGGAAACTCAGCCACTAAGACAAAATAAATATATATATATACTATGAAAAGGACTAACCCCGACAATTATTTTAATATATTTTCTGTTTATAATAAACAGTATTACAACATTTACCGGCCTAAATATCCGAGAAATTTCATAGAAAATATGACAGGAATCGAACCTGTACGCTACGCGGAACCGTCATATAGCCTTACGTACCATACCAT